ATCCAAAAATGAAAGTAATACAAGAATTAGTGGAATGAAAATGATTAAAGCAAAGAAAATGTTAGCTAATGTCTCCCTGGGTAGTTACAGATTACTTTCAACTGAGAGGACAAGGGAAGGTTGTATTAAAAAGTGAAATTTGAGATGGATGGGAATTGGAAGAACATGGGTGGGGAAAATGGGATAGTGAAGAAATCATGTCAGGGTGGGGGAGATCATGAAGGAAGCAAAAAGGCTCAGATAACACTAAGCAAATACCACAGAGCACAGTAAGAATGGGATATATAGGCAGTAGGGACATGGAAGGGGAAAAAGTAAAGAAAGGTACATTGAGGCCTTATCACAGTTCTGAATGCCAGAGTAAGGTGTTTATATTTTATTCTGTACGTGAGATTGATGCAGCATTACAATAGTTGCCCATTCAAACATTCATTCATTTTATACAAATTTGTATATATAGACACACACACACAAATCATGAGCTCTTACAAAAAACAGCATTCATATAAAAGCCACTAGGAAAATAGAGTTCAACCTGACTGAAACCACATGGAAATTAGAACAATTTCCCCTATTGAATATTTATCATTAACAACTTCCCTTTCCCCCTTCAAATTTCCTTTATACAGAGATACTTTATAGCTTAAACTGGGAATATGAAAGTCCTGGCCTACTGAATTAACAATGTTAATATAAATGTGTAAATAACCTAACGGTTCACTTCAAAGTGATTTACTTTTGTTATATTCTATTTGGAGGCAGATGACTGGACTTTAGGCCTAGTTCTTTCATTTAACAAGCTCTAAGACTTTGGGTAATTTGTTTGAAGTTTCCAGAGCTTGGTTTCCTCATCTGTAAAATAAGAGGATTAAAAAATAGAATCTCTCAAATCCCCTCCAGATTTAAATGTTATGGTTCTTACCTGTTTAAAGCGGTCACAGCTTCAGCATCATCTTTACAAGTGAGCAGTTTGTCTAAATTATAGTCAAGTATTGACAGTCCAAACTGTAAAATGGCCTTTATTCCATCATAGAAGAAACAGTCTACCACATTTACTGCACTTTCAATAGGCAGTACACTAATAAAAATTGTAAGGAACCATGAGAGAGAAACCGAAGAAAAGAAAGTCATATCAGTCATGTGTTCTGTCAGCTGAGGAAGGTGATCTCTGATAAGTTCTTCAAAGACTGCCTGATCCACCAAGGCACCTGAAAAGTACCCAAAGAAGTATCAAAATGAACAGCACCCAAATGGACTTGTTTCTAATTCTTCTCCACTTCTATTAGTATGCTGATATACCTAATTTCTTTTCCTGAAATTGTGAACTCTTCAGTGTCTTTTCCATATTTCATACATCTATCTGCTAATATAGTATCATGCATTTAGAAACACTTGAGAAGTGACATTCAAATTAATTTTAATAATTATTTATTGAGCCTTCTTTGTATACAGAGATCTATACTAAATATAGGAGATATACCAATGAATGAAATACTCTCATCTTCAAAGGATTTAATATCTAGTAGACCTTAAGATAAAAACACAAAGGGCCAGCAAGTGGTTAAGGTGCTGAACTCCCACATGGCCAATTGAGAGTCAAGTCCTAGACATGGCACCTTGAAAATCATGCCAGGTGTGTGTGTGCAGGCCTGTCCAAAATCCAGGAGGAAAAGGAAAAGGGACTGTGGTGTGGCCATTCCCCCTCATGGGGTGATTTCTCACTTTCCCTCTCACTATCGCTCTCTCTGACAAACGCATGCACACTATGGCAAAAACCTTAAAAAACATGAATAACTATAAATAAAACACAGGACAATGAATAATCTAGCCATAATGCTAGAAACTTATAAAGGTGCAAAGGAGAGGTCATTTATAAGATTTAAGATGGGAGATTATAGATATTATATATAAATATTTGATGACTAGAAAGTATTTATGCAAACAATAAACTACAAACTTGATCCTTCTTTCAAACCATGCAAATATTCATATAATTCATATAAATGTGAAGATTTTAAGCTGATTAAAATCTCTCTCCTATCTGAAATTATTAAAATTTCCTCAGTAACTCTGGATGCTTCAGATCACCATTGTTTTAAAAATGTAGAGATTATAAATTAAAATTTTCCATGTTATTATGAAATAGAACATGTACTTTATTTCAAAAAGTAACACATTACATCATCTTTCTAACTTTACATTCAGTACAAAAAGCTCTTCTTTTGAGCATGTCAATGAATGTAATTTTTTTAAAGAGATTTTTTGCTATAGGGCACATGCCCTCCCCAGAGAGACAGAGCAACATAGACAAAAAGCAAAAAATCACCCTCCGGGAGGGACTGCCACACTGCAATCCTTTCTCTTCCATTCTCCTCTCAGGATTTTGGGCACATGAACACAGAATGAGTTTCAAGCTGCTAGGTCCAGGACTCGAACTGCAGTTGACTACATGGGAGTCCAGTACCTTAACTACTAGTATGCTACCTGCTGACCCCTGAATGTGACATTCTGATATAACTTGCATTTTGTATATTTCACAATGTATTCCATCCATTCTTCTATTTGATTGGTTGTTAGATAAACAAGAGACACTGAAAATATTTAGAAAAGAAGTATGTGAATGCATACTTGTCTGTATGCATGCATGTGTGTTTCAGTTTGTTTTTTACCTATGATTCGACGATTAAAATAATCAGGCAACATTCGTTCACATACAGCAACCAGAAGCCAAAAAGCTTCTTCCTCTTTTGCATACAGAAGCAACACTGAAGTCAAAATGTTCATTGCCTAAAATTCAGAGAAAAAAATACAGAAAATGTAAATATTGTCCAAAGTAAAACTAGGTGAAGTCAGGCTAACATTTGCTAATTGGTTATTGTAAAAATTAACATTCAAGGAAAATGAAACAGTAATATCATGAATATAGAGCACAATAGGTAAAACTGCATTTTTTTTTTTAGAGAAGTTTTTGCTATAGGGTTTGTATGCTTGCCACATCAGAGAGACAGAAAGTGAGAAATCACCCCTCAGGGGGATGGCTATGCTGCAATCCCTTCTCTTCCACTCTCCTCTGAAGATTTGGGGCATGCATGCACCTGTGCCTGGCGTGACTTTAAGCCACTGGGTCTGGGACTTGAACCATGGTTGACTACGTGGGAGTTCAGTGATGTAACAATTATGCCATCTGCTGGTCCTTATTTCTTTTTTTTTTCTTTACCAGATAGTATATGCATTTGCTAGAAAGAGGCAGAGAGGGAGGGAGAACGCACTTCCAATGGACATGGTTGAAATTCCTTCTCCTCAATTTCTATATCCTGTCAGAATCTTGAGTACGCAGGGGCCAGCAGGTGGTGTGGTGGTTAACGGCGCTGGACTCCCACATGGCCGACTGAGGTTCAAGTTCCAGATCTGGCGGCTTGCTTTCTCGCTTTCCCTCTCTCTCACTCTGTCCCTGTCTGGTCAAATAAAATAAAATAAAGTTAAATAAAATAATTCTTAAAAAAAGAAGAATAATAATTTTGGGCATGCACGTGCACAGTTTGGTTTTCAAGCTGTCAAGGCTGAGATCTGAATCATGGTTAGCCATGTGGGACCCAGCTCTCTTAATCACTAGGCTACAGGACCAACCTAGTAAAACTTACTTTGAAGTAAAATTTATTTTGAAGTTATATTAATTTCAGTAGGTAAAAAATAGTCCCAAATCTGAAAACAAGACAAAACAAAAACCCACATATGGAGAAAATGTCATCAGTATTTACTACCTACAGAATATCCCTTAGATGTTAATCATCCTCAATTATATCCAAATCTAAACACCTTTTCCCCCATCAAATGGTATTCTCTTCTTAGCGACTGTAATTTTATTTTTTTGTGAGCCACAAGTAGTTTTTTTGTTTGTTTTAAACATTTGTCTATCTATTTATTTATTTATTTTAGAGATGTTTTTCCTTCTGTTACTATAGGGCATGTGTGCTCACCAGAGAGACAGAGAGATAGAGAGACAGAAAGTGAGAAATTACCTCTCAGGGGGATGGCCAGGCTACAATCCATTCTCCTCTTGGGATTTTGGGCATGCACACACACGTTCCCGGCATGAGTTTTATGTCACCGGGTCCAGGACTCGAACCACAGTCGACTATGTGGGAGTCCAGTGATGTAACCATTATGCCATCTGCTGGTACCAGATCATTACTTTTATATATAACATTGTCACATCCCTTATTATAAAGGTAATAAATTATTTGTGCACAGAATTCAGAAAGAATTGAAAAGTGCAAAGAAGAAAATAAAACTTCCTATATCCTACCCACCCAGAGATTACATCTGTTAATGAGTGATATGTTTTTGTAACCATTATGCCATCTGCTGGTACCAGATCATTACTTTTATATATAACATTGTCACATCCCTTATTATAAAGGTAATAAATTATTTGTGCACAGAATTCAGAAAGAATTGAAAAGTGCAAAGAAGAAAATAAAACTTCCTATATCCTACCCACCCAGAGATTACATCTGTTAATGAGTGATATGTTTTTTTTTTTTTGAGAGGTTTGTTTTGTTTTGTTTGCTTGCTATAGGGCGCATGCACTCGCCAGAAAGACACAGAGAAACAGAGAGACAGAAAGCGAGAAATCACCCCCCGGGGGGGATGGTCACACCACAATCCCTTCTCTTCCACTCTCTTCTAGGGATCTTGGGCACGCACGTACAGGCACCCAACGTGAGTTTAAACCACCAGGTCCGGGATTCAAACCACAGTTGACTACATGGGAGTCCAGTGACTATAGCCGTGATGCCAACTGCTGGTCCCAATGAGTGATATTATTTAACTTGACCAGAGAGAGAGAGAAAGAGTGAGTGAGAAAACAAGATGCCAGGTTTGGGACTTGAACTGCAGTTGGTCATGTGAGAATCCAGCACCCTAACCACCATGCCACCTGCTGGCCCCTAAAACGGTACATTTTTTTTTTGAGAGTTTTTTTTGCTTATAGGGTGTATGCGCTCGCCAGAAAGACAGAGAGAGACAGAGAGACAGAAAGCGAGAAATCACCCCCCGGGGGGATGGCCACGCCGTAATCCCTTCTCCTCCATTCTCCTCTCGGGATCTTGGGCACGCACGCACACACGCCCAGTGTGAGTTTTAAGCCACTGGGTCTGGGACACGAACCGCGGTCGACTACATGGGAATCCAGCGACATAGCCATTATGTTTACTGCTGGTCCCTAAAACAGTATTTTTAATATCTATAAAATAATCTAAGTTGGATATACTATAATTTACTTGTCAAGACATTCAGGTTGATTACGATTTTGTACTATTACATATAATGTGGCAATGAATTTCTCTGTACATAAATCTTCATGCAAACGTTGAACTATTTTGAAGGTAGATACCTATAAATGAAGTTATTTGGTCAAGTGGTATTATGTTTTGAAGACTTGATATTGTCAAATTATATTCCAGAAAGTGTACCAACTTTTAATTCACTGCTGATTAGATGCAGAAAATGGTATCTCATTTTTCTAACTTTAATTTCTTTCAGGTTGAACTTTCTTTTTTGGGTTTTATTATCAATCTGTATTTTCTCTTCTGTGACTATTCTTTTATGTCTATTACTCATTTTTATATTTTCATACATTCCTTATAGATTTCTATATTAAGTATGTCACTTCCTTGTCATATCTAGCACAATGATTGAGCTTAAACTTAGTTTTTACTCCTTTACTTTCTGTGCAAGTAGCCATAATGGCAAGGGATTTGGTGAAAATAGCAGAGTAAAGAAAATGCTCTTCTCTATAAAAGCAATAAGAATACTGGCATAAATTGCCAGAATCAAATTTTTCAAGACTGGAAGCTAATGAAAAGCTTACAGCAATTCAGGTAGCACTTGTTCAAGACAATGGCCGAATCTCAGTAAAAAACACTGATCTCTATGGCATTTAAAATTGTCTTATTCCTATCCTCCCTCCCCAACTTCATAGCAGCCAGAAGGTGGTGTGGTGGTTAAGGGCACTGGACTTCTACATGGCTGACCACAGTTCAAGTCCCAGACCTGGTAGCTTGTTTTCTCACTTTCCCTCTGTCCTTCTATGGTCAAATTAAATAAATAAAGTTAAATGTAGTTAAATAATTCTTAAAAAACAAAAACAAAAACAAAAACAAAAACAAAACCCCAGCAGGTAGCATGGTGATTAACGTGTTTGACTTCTACATGGCCAACTGCTGTTAGAGTCCCAAACCTGGCAGGTTGCTTTCTCACTTTCCCTCTCTGTCTTTCTCTGGTGTGCACATGTATCCTATAGTAAATTTTAAAAAAAGGATAATAATAAATTAATTTAAAAAAAGAACAAACAATGCTCAATGGCCAGCAATCATGGTGAAAAACAATATCTAGCAACCCCATAACAAACAGATTGGGGTTGGAGTTCCTTCAAAACCCCATTCCCAGAAAATTGTTCTTATTTGATCTGTTTGATGGTTCTCTGGAAACTCTGCTCACAAAGTTGTTTTTATTTGACCTGACATAGTTTATATAATGCAAACAGACCTTTCCCCAGAGGTGTTTGTTGAAAACAATCAGAGGGCATTAAACATGTGAGAGTGGATAACAGATGGGTCAAATAAAAGGCTAAGAAAGGGTTAAAAGAAAAACTGGGGGCTTTGAAAAACTGACATATTCCTGAGAACCTAGAAGGCCATATATGTGCATATAGCTTGATGCACATGCTTTGGAGAGGATAGAAAAGACTCCAGCCAGGGGTGTAGTGGTTAAGGCATTGGAGTCCCACATGGTTGACCACAGTTTGAAGTCTGTCTGGTGCTTGTGCCCTATAGCAAAAAATCTCTCAAAAAAAAAAAAAAAAGAATAGAAAAGGTCTAAGTTCTCATCTCTAAGTAACCTTGAGGCTCTGCACAAGCAGAGTGTGTTAGAGAGAGTGTGTTAGAGAATAGAAAAAAAATTAGAGAAAATCAACAAAACCAAAAATTGGTTCTTAGAAAGGATTTTTTTTTTTTGCGAGAGAGAGGTTTTTGCTATAGGGAGTGTGCACTCGCCAGAAAGACAGAGAGAGACAGCGAGACAGAAAGCAAGAAATCACCCCTCGGAGGGATGGCCATACCGCAATCCCTTCACCTCCATTCTCCTCTCAGGATCTTGGGCACGCATACACACGCGCCTGGTGTGAGTTTAAGCCAGCAGGTCCGGGACTCGAACCACAGTCGACTACATGGGAGTCCAGTGACATAGCCATTACACGAACTGCTGGTCCCTCTTAGAAAGGATTTAAAAAAAATAAAAGATCAAAACACTGAACCCCCTTTAGATAGGTTAACCAAAAAGATTAATTAAAAAAAAAGAGCAAGAGCAAGTGAGAGTGAGACAGCGAGAGAGAGTACAAGAGCAAGAATGAGGGTGAGAGAAAGCAAATGATTATAATCAGACAACAGAACATTACTAACAGCCTTACAGAAATAAAAGGGATTATAAAGGAATATGATTAACAACTGTATGTGAACAAATTAGATAACCTAGATAGAATGGACACAGTTTTAAAAGACACAAACTACAGAGACTAATTCAAGAAGGGACGAAAAAAACTTAACAGACTTAACAATCAGAGATTGAATTAGTAATGGAAAAAAACTTCCAGAAAGAAAATTCTAAGAACAGATGGTTTCACTAGCAAATTCTAGCAAATATGAAAAAATTAACACCAGTCCTTAATAAGTTCTTCACAAAAGGAGAGGAGGAAACACTACCGAACTCATTATAAGAAACCATGATACCAAAACCAGCCAAAAACATTACAAAAAAACCCTACATATCAATGTAATTTATAAATATAAGTGATAAAAATACTCAATAAACTAGGAATATAAGGGAACCTACTCAACTTGATAAAGAGAATCTATAAAAACCCCCCAGCCTATAGACTTTATGATGAAAGATTAATTATACTTGCCTAAAATAAATAACATGACATAGATAAGCATTCTTTTATTTATTATTATTATTTCATTTAATTTGCTATAGGGCACGTATGCTCACCAGAGAGGGAAGAAGAGAGAGAGAGAGAAAGTGAGAAAGCAAGCCACCCAGTCTGGGACTCAAACCAGTCAGTCATGTGGGACCTTTAAGAACATTATCTGCTAGTCCCCATTCTCACCATTTCTATTTAACGCTGTACTAAATATTCTAGCAAGGATGATTAGGAAAGAAAAGGGGGGAAAAAGACATTCAGATTGTAATGAAAGTAAAACTATTACTATTCAGATTTCATAATTTTGTAAATAGAAATCCCTAAGAAATACATACAAACAAATTTACTAGAACTAATAAATAAGCTCAGTGAAGATACAGGATACAAGAGCAATATACACAAAAACCAATTGTACTATATATACTGGCAAAAAAAAAAATCCAAAAATGAAATTTAAAAATTCCATTTCTTATAAAATAAGAAAGATTGGGGCTGGCAGGTGGCATGGTGGTTAAGGCACTGGATTCCCACATGACTGACCATGGTTTGAGTCCTGGACCTGGTGACTTGCTTTCTCACTTTCCTTCTTGCTCTCTTTCTCTCTCTGTCTGCCTCTCTCTGGTGAATGCATGTGTACTATAGCAAACAAAATAATAATAAAATTAAATAAATAATAAATTTTTAAGAGATTAAAAAGATTAATGAATCAGAAAACTTAATATTGTTAATATGCAAACCCCCCCCCAAATAATTGATCCATAGATTTGATGCAAATGGGATGACTATCAAAATACCAGCTGGATTTTTTTTTTCTTTTTTTTGCAAAAATTGACAGGAATTTCAAGCTGCCAGGTCTGGGACTTGAACTGCAGTCAGCCATGTGTGATTCCAGTACCTTAACCAGTAAGTAGGTCACCTGCTGATCCCCTTATATTGTTACTTTATTCCATAATAACTTTCCTCCTACTCTCTATGTTTCCAATTTTGGTCTCTTTCAGAAATCAAAATCAAGTGCTGCCTACTTTGAAGCTATCTCTAAACTACTACATATAGAGAACATCACAGGCTCTATGAGAGTAAGTTTTTAAAGGAAAATGGCATTATACTTCTTTTGTACCTTTCAGAGATTCTAAAATATGCTAAAAATACTTGTCATTAAGATGGTCCAGTCACTTTTTTTTTTAAATCTCCATTGATAAATCTCAATGGATAGACACTATTGATATGTAATAATTATGGGTCCTCAACCCATTGTAAATGAATGTATGGCAGTACTACCTAGACAACATAATTCAGTCTCCCCTTCTACAGTAACTGGGCATATATCTGCTCAACCACATTATATTTTGCAGACTTCCTTGTGGAATAGTTATGTCCATGTGACTACGATCTTCCAATAGAATGTGGGTGAAGTGATGTGTGATACTTGCAGACCTAGCCCATGAAGTCTCACACAATTATTTCTTTATCCTCTCTCTCTCCATTCCTGTGAGTGACAATGGCAATGCAAGTGCTAAGACCCATGTTTTGAAGATGATGGATGGAGTCTGCTGTTAGCTATAGCCTAAGTCCCTGAATAATCTTATTAGACAAGAGCTCTTTACTGACCTCGATTCTCACTTTTCTCTCTTTGTGGCTTTAAGAAATACATTTTTGAGCTGTTCTCATAGCACAGCAGTTAAGCACTGAGCAGAAGAGCTGAATCTCACATGGCTAATGGTAATTTGAATCCCTGGCATCAACATTCTGTGTGTGTTCAGGATCCTGGTGTGATGGAGAAATGGAGGAAAAAGGATTATGGGGTGATTGGGCCCAACTGGTGGGTGCTTTCTCTCTAGTCTGTGAGTACAAGACCTCTGGCATTAAAAAAAAAGAAAAGAAATAAATGTCTATTGAATTTTAGCTATTATCTGTTTGTGCTTTGTTAGAAATATAGCCTACTTTGATTAATACAGTGTGCTCCTTAAAGATTTTTTTCTAATGATTCCTCCACTACCTACAAAATAAAATTATAACTCCTGAATATCCCAATTACTTTCATTGATTTTTTTTCTCTACTTCACTTTATTCACCCTACAATTCTACTAAACTAAAAAGAAAATGGTTCTAAACACATTATATATTTACTTCTACCTATGTTGGGTTACAGTTATCCCTTTACCTAGATGTTCTTTCATTCCATCTCCATTTGTCCAAAGTTGACCAGTTTTCAAGATCTTCAAGTGCTATAGAAAGCCTTATCTGACTCTCCCAGATGAAAATAATTTGTTATCATAAATCCTGACATGATTTATATTTATCTAACAGTCTGTTTCACTTGTTCCTTTGGTTTCCCAATAAATATACTTTAACACCTACCATTCCACGCACTATTAAGGGCAGGATCCTTACCTGATACATCTTTTTATAGCCTTAAGTATTCAGCACTGTATCTTTTACAGTGCAGGAATTCAATAAATGCTTGTTAAATGAAAGAAAAAGTGAACTTAATATCAATTTTCCTAAGTATTATCATTATCATCCTACTTACATTTATAATATCCCTGATCAATCTCTACCCAACCTCTGTCCTTATTATCACAATTTACTAATTTGTGGTAAGTACACAGTTGAGCTCATAGTAAATAATACCTGGCAGTATCCAATTTTGGGATTCCTATATGCATAAGCAGTGAGTACCCTCCTCAGAGCAGATATGCCAGTGTCACTCTGAAATGCTGGGTGCTCAGGGAGGGAGCGACGCAAATCACGTTCAATTTCTTCTGTAGCCAAGTTGCAGGTCCCTAAGGACTGCTCAACTATTTCAGCATAATAGCCAGGATTAGTAGCCATGTCATTAACAGCACCTATAAAGATGATTGTGTTAACACACAAAAGAAGAGAAATATAATAATGTTATTATTTGCATATATGCACAAATAATTGGGTTTCATTACCTTAAAATTTAGCTTTAGGTTCAAGTGATATCTGAGCACAAAAGAAATGAAGGAAAATAAAAAGTTTCACAATAGAGTCTATAATGTCAAGCTACTAAACTTATCTGGCATAATAACACCTTTGTGGCATTTCCCTCCCCTTAACTTTCTTTTGACACAAGAAATAGAGATTTTTTTTACCACTAAATTAGACATATCTTGCTCAATAACCTAATTTACTCAGACACTTGGTATGTGGCTATATATATACATATAACTACTGACCTTCTCTTTTTGTCTAGTCTAAAATGATGACTAAGACTTTGCCCTAGCATTTTGGAATTCTTTGACATTAGCTTATTGCATAGCTCCTAAAAGGGAGATGGTTAATGTGTGTAAAATGAATAAATGTAATACCTGAAAAAAGCATCCAGAGTTCTCCTCTTAAGGTCTCTGGAATCCCTCTTACAACAAGATCTCGAGTCTTTTTGGTCCGAAACATGCTAACACCACGACCACATTCTGCAAATAGGATATTCCATGACTGTTCCTTCATCTTTTCTTTCAACTAGAAATATCAAAGCAACAAAAAAATTGTGAGAAACTAACTTTTTAAAAATATTTTTTCCACCCTCTTCACCATGAAATTGCATTCATGGAATTTAAGAACATATTGATAGAAAATCAATTCACACAGGAATCAAAACTCAACCCTAGTCATCACAATTTTTTTTTTAATCCTGTGCAAACAAAACAGTTTTAATTTATTATTTTAAAATTTTAGCTGAATTCACATAAAAATGGTAAAACTTCTGTACTTTGGAGGAGAGCTCATCTTCCCCAAATCGTCTCGATTATAGAATAGATAATTAGAGACTTATGCAAATAAACCCAATATCTAACTTTCATCTTCTATCTTGATAATACTACTTACGTGTTCTAGAACCAAAGAAATAACACAATAGCACTGCCTAGAAAACTTTTTCAGTCTTCCAAAGAAGAATTTTCAATTACGGTAACTTCTAGTTGAATCTAAGAGTTTTCTTTTTCCCCAACTGTTCTAGTACATACATTTAAATAGTCTGTTTACCTACCATTTTAGAATTAAGTGTCTCCAAATTCTGAGGGTGAAATACTGTCATCAAGGCTTCAGTGTTCACAGTTTTACTGCAATCTCTCTGACATGCCAAAGATTGGACCTCACAATTATCAGATGGGCCTGTACAGTCGGAACTAACAGCAACCTGAGAAAGAAAGAACGTAATTGTTCCAAATACATGCTTCAAAGTTCATGGAAGGAAAAAAATTTTAATGTTTCATCTGTAATATAGAAGCTACAATCTCTATATATTAAATATGAAAGCAATGTCTCAGAGACATTATTTTCCTACCAAAATTAGAGATATCAACAAACTGATTTTGGGTACAGAAAACTCAGAATCTCAGAACAATTCTCCAACAAAAGCAACAAAATACTGGGCAAACATTCAAAATAAACCATTTTGGAATGCCAGGAACCAACTGAAGGCACAGAACAAACCAAAAAGCATCTATTCAAAACAAACAAAAACACCAAAATAAATAAATAAATAAAGAATCTCAGTAAGAACAGAAGAGTATGTGAGGTTTTAACTTGAGGCTATGTTAGATGTTAAAGCCAACAATATGATAGCCAGTATATCTTTTGGAACTTCATTGAAAGTCCCATCCCCAGGACCAGCAGATAGTCTAACAATTAAATCGCTGGCCACACAGCCGACGACGGTTTGAGTTCCAGACTCAGAGGTTTGAAACTCGTGCCAGGCACGCGTGCGTGTGTGCCCCAAATCCCGAGGAGAATGGAAGAGAAGAGACTGTGGCTTGGCCATCCCCCCTGTGGGGTGATTTCTTGCTTTCTGTCTGTCTCTGTCTCCCTGGTGAGCACACGCACCCTGTAACAGAAATTTATAAAATAATACAAGAGAAAAAAAGACCCATCTCCAGAGCACAGTCAATATTTTGACCAAATTAGCAGCTCACTGGAACAATCTCCATTCCCAGGCACTTAACTGTTATCATTTGATTTGATTCACAGGTCAGCTAGGTGAAGAAAAAAAAAAAAAGCCCTGTTTCAGGGCATTATAGAAAGTAATAGCAATCTGCTGGTAACATCATAGCTGCTCAAGGCTATGATTTCAATAGAGGCAAACAAGAGCCTGGATAAAAATTTAAAAACAAAGCCTGGAGAACCAGATGGCCATATGAACTTTGAAAGGTTCATATATTCTTGGGGCTCTAGAAGTATGTACACATAAGTGGGCCCAAGAGAGAAACAGGATAGAGACCAACAGATGGTGTAATGGTTATGTCACTGCACTCTCATGTAGTTGACTATGGCTTGAGTCCTGGACCTGGTGGCTTAAAACTCACACTGAGCGCATCTGTGTGCGTGTCCAAGATCCCAAGAGGACAATGGAGGAGAAGGGACTATGGTGTGGCCATCCTCCTGGGAAGTGAATTCTTGTTTTTGGTCTCTCAGTCTCTGTCTGTCTGGTGAGGGAACATGCCCTATAACAAAAATGACTCTCTTTTTTTTGAGAGGTTTTTGCTATAGGGCACGTGCGCTCGCCAGGAAGACAGAGAAAGACAGAGAGACAGAAAGCGAGAAATCACCCCCCACGGGGGATGGTCATGCCTCAATCCCTTCTCTTCCATTCTCCTCTTGGGATCTTGGGCACACACCCACACAGGCCCGGTGTGAGTTTAAGCCATTGGGTCTGGGACTCAAACCATGGTTGACTTCGTGGGAGTTCAGCGACATAGTCATTACACTAACTGCTGGTCCCACAAAAATCACTTTTAAAGAAAGAAAGGAAAGATAAAAATAGGACAGAAGAAGGCCCTAGTCACTTAACTACAACTGTCTTTGAAAGCAGGAATTGAAAGTAAAGCATGATTTGTAAACTGTTTGATGTTCAGGGTATACCTTTCACAGAAAGATAATCTCAGAAAAACTATGGAAGACTTAATGGCTTAAGACATTTAAGAAAATCTTCTGACCTGTTATTGAATGACAACTAAATGATACTAACTCAGGAGGTAAGCCAAGTAAATTCGACTTAAAAATAAAAACAAGAACTTTTGAGGCCAGGTGAATATGCAGCAGTAAAGCATATAAAGTCACATAAGAAAGGTATAGTTGCATGTTCTTCATGCTACTGTTGGTCAGCATGCAGTCACATGAGAGGCCCAGGTTTGTTTCTCAGCTCATCCTAAAAGCCAGCCACAGTGCTGTGTACCTGTGGTCCCAGCTACTAAAGAGTCTGAGGGAGGAGGATCACAAGCTCATGGTTAGCATGAGTGAACACCGTGAGTCCCTGTCTGAAACAGCTGGGCATTGTGGCACTTGTCTGTGGGTACAATCACAGCTAGATTAACTGCTGAAGCAAGAGGACTATGCCATAGCTAGACCCTGCCTAAAATGGAAACACACAAACATATTTGCTCACTATAATGTAGGCAAAAGGTCTAAATAGACACCTTACCTAAAAAGATAAAAATGACAAATAATCAGATGAAAAATGTTTAATATATATGTCATTAGGTAATTGTAAATTTTTTAAAGAAAGATTTGTTATAGGGTGTGTGCATTCACTGGAGAGATAGAGAGACGGAGAGACAGAAGGTGAGATATTACCCCCCAGGGGGATAGCCATGCTGCAATCCCCTCTCCTCCATTCTCCTCTCAGGATACGCACACATACCCAGCATGAGTTTAAAGCTGCTGGGTCTGGGACTCAAACCGTGGTTGACTACATGGGAGTCCAGTAATGTAACCATTTCACCATCTGCTGGTCAAGGGAATTGTAAATTAAAGGAACATTCCACATTTATTCAAATGGCAAAAATGGGGACTGTGGGCGTGGCCAAACCCCTGGGGAGTGATTTCTCGCTTTCTGTTTCTCTGTCTTTCTGGCGAGCACATGCACCCTCTAGCAAAAACAAAACAAAACAGAACAAAACAAAAACAAAAAAAAACTCTCTCTCAAAATAAAAACAAAAACAAAAAAAACAGAGCTGGAGATCTACATTTTAGAGTTAGTGTATACAGGTAATAATCATGCACACAAAAACATTAGAACTTTATTTTTTGGAATTTTTTTTGTTTATTTTTATTTTATTTTATTTATTTTTTTGCTATAGGGCGTGTGTACTCACCAGACAGACAGTGAGAGACAGAAAGCGAGAAATCACCCACCAGGGGGGATGGCCACCCCACAATCCCTTCTCCATTCTCCTCTCAGGATCTTGGGCATGCATGCACATCCACCCAGAGTAAGTTTTAAGCCACTGGGTCTGGGTCTCGAATTGCGGTCGACTATATGGGAGTCCAGCGACATAGCCATTACACTAACTGCTGGTCCCCAAAACATTAGAACTTTAGAAAAGGCTTTTCAATCAGTGTTAAAATTCAGGATCAAGAATAATTTTAGAACTTGGAAAGTTCAGTTTTCTAAGATATGGTTGGGAGAGCTCTTGAAATAGTTTTCGATCAAGATGTGTGAAGAGACTATTTGTAAGAGTACAAAATCAAAGAATATTAGTTATTTCTTTTGTTTTACAGATAATACAAATAATGCACAGAGAGATTAAGCAAGTTACACATACTCGGGAATTTTTAATGATAGTTGGATCTAAAATTTGACCCCTTGATTCTAATTTGGTGACTTGCTTCATATCCCACACTGTCAATAAACACAACTGCCAGAATGTAGGATCAAAATATATGCTATCAGATTAAGATTAAAAAGTAATATAATTTCTATTGAATGGATGAAGTTAGCTATCTTTCAAAGTAACTCAAGAGATGGGGTCAGCAAGCGGCATGGTGATTAAAGCAGTGGACTCTCACATGGCCCACTGTAGTTCAAACTCTGAACCTGGCAGATTGAAAATCATGCTGGGAGCACGTGTGCACATGCCCAAAACCCCAAAAGGAAAGTGGAGAAGAATTGATTGTGGAGTGGCCAGATCCCTGAGGGGTGATTTCTGACTTTCTCTCTCTCTGGTGAGCACACGCATCCTATGACCAAAAAAAAAAAAAAAGAAAAAAAAAAAAAAAAAAAAAAGAAAGAAAAGAAAAGAAAAAAAAGTAACTCTAGAGATTGTCAAACATATTATTGAAAAATTTGAGAATTTCAGGAGGTAAGATTATACTTTATTGTAACCTAGTACATTAATCTCTGTCATTTTCCAGCTATGCAATTCTTTATTTTTTTTAGAGAAATTTTTGTTATAGGGTGTGTTCACTGGAAAAGGCAGAGACAGAGAGACAGAGAGTAAGAAATCACCCCCCACCCCCCGTGGGGGATGGTCACACTGCAATCCTTTCTCCTAATCTCTTCTCCTCCAATCTCCTCTCAGGATCTTGGGCACATATATACATGTGCCCAGTGTGAGGTTAAGCCGCTAGGTCCAGGATTGAAACCATAGTTGACTCTGTGGGAGTCCAGCAATGTAACCACTACACCATCTGCTGGTCCTCAGCTATGCAATTCTAAGCAAATTACCTTCTCATGCATAAAATGAAGATAACATCTATATCACAAAAAATGATTATCAGTCATGTCATATAATACAGTAGATATGAAAGTAATCACTGGAACATCTAACATATTAGTGACAATTAAAAATTACTGGTTGAGGGGCTGGCAGGGGGCATGGTGGTTAAGGGAGCTGGACTCCCATGTGGCCGAATGTGGTTTGAGTCCTAGATCTAGTGGCTTGCTTTCTCACTTTCCCTCCCTCCCTTTCTCTCTCTCTCCCACTCTCACTTTGTCTTTCTCTGGTCAAATTAAAATAAATAAATAAATAAAAAAAAATAAAATAATTCTTTAAAAAACTGAACTACAGTCAATTACATGGGAGTCCAGTGCCTTAACCACGTGACCTGCTGATCCCAAGCCTGAAGATAATTTAATACAGTATTTTTGCATGGCAGCACTTTTGCTGTGATAAAATTTACATGAGGTCAAATGCAGAGTTTATCCTTGTGGTGTTATGTTGGAGGTTAAAAAGTTTAGAATTTGGAAGATTCTGGATTTGTGATTTTCACATTATAGTAATCAACCTGCAGTAAAATGTGAAATTTGGAAAATGTGAGTCCTCCATCTTTGGTTTTCTTCTTCAGTACTGTCTGAGCTATGCATATATATATTTTAAGATTTTTGTCACAGCACATATGCTTGCCAGAGAGAGACAGAGA